CGATGAAGATTTAGAGAAAAATCAAAACAAAAAGGACACTTATAATTAATATCAGAAAGAGAAATTTAAAATTTCTAGAGCAAATAATGAGGAAAGAGGGCTTGGAAATTGGAAACTCCCAGGACATATTGAAGGCAAGAGGGACGGAGAAGACAGGCGCATCACCAACCTAACGAGTTTGGGTACATGAATGACAAAATAGGTTTTAGCAAAGATAACAAAAAGGCAACATTTTCTAAGAGCTACAAAGAACAGGAAAATGCGAAGAGCCATGATCGCCAACGTTGTGACGGGACACGGGACAACGAATAAGAAGAAGTGATACGGAGATTGGAGGTTTTGCGGAGGTAGAACCACCTCTTAATTGCTGTTGTTCCCAGGTTCACCCTGACTCGGGGCTGGTAGCAACTGTTAGGGTCCCAACTATTGGCAAATAGTGACCCCTCCCCGCAAAATCAAAAATCTAAACACTAGGGGAGTATAAGAATACATTTTATAGTAAAAATACTAGTAATACATTTTTATAAAAAAAATTACCAACATTTTATAACCAGCAGTACATTTTATAGTAAAATGACTAAAAGTAATTTTCATAGTAAAATGACTAACAATACATTTTTATAGTAAAATGACCAACAATTCATTTTTATAGTAAAATCACCAATAATACATTTTTATAGTAAAATGAGCAACAATTCATTTTATAGCAAAATAACCAGCAATACATTTTAAAGCAAACTGACCAACAATACATTTAATAGTAGAATTACTAAAAATACATTTTATAATAAAATGACCAACAATGCATTTTTATAAAATAATGACAAACAATATATTTACTGTAAAAATATAGACATGGCATTCATTGTTCAGAAAACTGTAACGAGAAACAAGTTTTCACTTGTTTGATTTTGTAAGATTATTTGGTAAAAAAACGAACATAGTAATTATAATTTAATCATGAAATAATGTCATTCTCTTGAATTAATTACAAATTTTGAGTTTTCATATTTAGATTTGGGCGTTAAATAACCCATAGAGGTGTTGATATGCCGCTAAACAAAAACAACCAAACCAAACCATTTACATCGAACACTACATTTTACTCAATAACCATCTAAGCTCTCAATACTTGTAATAAGTGAATTCTAATATTAACAACAACAAAAAAAACAGGTCTTTAAGCAGAATTGGGATCGCTTTCATCAGATCCGCTCTCAAATTTGAAGCAATGGTATCAAAATATTATCTGGGCTTTGTTTAATGAATCAACTCTGAATCTAAATTTTAAAAATCATTTTAATACTTTCTATGAACGAATTTCTAATTTAAAAAAATTGATGCATATTATGAATAAAATTGTCCCACAACACGCAATCTCTGTCAATGGCATTTCACTGCAGATTGTTTAATTCCATTGTAGAGTGGTTGTTTATACATTGGTGGTAAGGTATCCTTTGTTTTGTTGCAAATCTACATGACTTGCACATTTAGGTTTCAAGTTATTCAAAATGGATGGATACTTTTCGAACATACCTCGTGTCAATATGAATTTCCGGCCAGGTTTCGTACCAAAGTTTTATTTGAGATTCCAAAAAATACTGATGAGTTTTACAGTGAAAAAACTGATTATAGATTAATTCATAAAATATGCCTTAATTTTGATCGTAGGTTTTGAATTCAGAGTTTTCCTTCTCCTATACCAGCTGCCATCCAAGGTTATAGAACCCTGTCTGTCCTGCTATTTACCCATAGCTGGAGGGAGAAGAAGAGGATTCACATCTTTCCCAAGGGTATTAGCACGTCAGTGAATGTAATGGATTCGACTGACATTCGAACTCGGCTCACCGATTCCTCAATCCAAGTCGCTATCCATTACGCCACCGTATATACACACCTAAAAGATGGCCACTCGTATTCAAGAATACTCGTCTATTAAGGAGGCTAGCCAATCCCTATTGCAGACGCTCGATCAGGCACATTTGTACTTGCTCAACACCCACAGAGCACACCTGTAGTTTATACTGCAACTATGCTGAGCAGACCTTAGTTACAGTTTCAGGGAAAGAGCGTGTTATCTAGTGTGATCAACAATTTGAATAAGGCCAGCACGCTCAAGCCACCGGCTACGATGACTTGTGGCTTTGTGCTAGTACAGCTATCGACGGCCCTCAAGAGTTCCGTCTATCCAATTTCACTCACAAGGCTTGGGTCAATCCATCGTATGGTTTTAGGGCACTTTCCAAAGATGCCGCACGCTGGGATCGACCTCGATCCACTCCGATAACGTATATATATATATATATATATATATATAGATAGATATAGATAGATAGATAGATAGATAGATAGATAGAGAGAGAGAGAGAGAGAGATATACCGACCGTCCTGGGTATGACGATAAACTACATCTGGAATTTGAACACGGCTCACCAATTACCGCTTTCTGCGCCGATATCCTTTACACTACCTACCTGCAGATTAGCGAAATTTAGTAAATATCAATATTTATTTTATTTTTATGTCGCCCGATGAGATTCAGACACACCGCTGTTGGCTGGTATGGACAACAACATTTTTGGAAGTGTGCTGACATTTGTTACAGGGCGCAAAAGATATGCAAGTATAAGACGCACCCTTGTTTTGCCTTTTTTTTTTTTAGAATCATTTGTTGGGAAAACATAATTGAATCACACATTCATTGTGACTTGGCTGTCAACAAAGCTAGAATGTACGTGTATTACAAGGTTACAAAGATTGATCACTATTTCTGTTATGTCTTTTATCATTTAAATGCGTATGGCAAACCCATTCTCCATTACACATACTTAAAACGTTACACGCTCATTCATGCTTATCTATGACATCACGTCAACATTTTTCCACATTATTTTTCCACTCCTTTTAAGCCGTCAATCATTCATTACTTCCCGTATGTGGCCACATACATACATACATACACACACACACACACATATATATATATATATATATATATATATATATATATATATATATATATATATATATATATATATGGTAGTAGGTCAGAGTGTCGAAAGATAAAATGTCGAACAGACAAAGTATCGAACATTTAAAGTGCCGAACGGACTAAGTATCGAATGAACAAAATACTATTTCATCATAAATAAATAAAAATATTTTTATTTTAACCACAATTGTAAGTTCTCATAAATAATTTTTTTAGCTCTTTACTGTAGTTTGAATGCAGATCCATTTAAAAAAAAAAAAAAGTAGAAAGTTTTTTTGGTCTTTTTTCGGCGATTTTATATTAGTTTAAAATTTTAGAATAATTATTTACTGACAGGATAATTGCATGCTAAGTAAAAGGTATTCTATTGTAGGCACATTTCTGGCATTTCGTGATTTAGCCAATTCGACATTTTCCGTTTGGTACTGTGTCCATTCGACACTTTGCTCGAAATTTTGTCCATTCGTCATTTTGTCTTTCGACAATTTGTCCTTCGACACTCTGCTCACATACACACACACAAATATTTTCCAAGTTAATGGATTATCACCTTAATCGTTATTTTTTTTGAGGATACTCATATATATTGAGTAGACGCTCCATTTATTCATTAAACAGTATATTTATTTATTTTCCTCTAGCGTCCTGAATATTCGAGAAATCTTATTAAAGATAAATATGCGCTCACCGACTGTAGACGAAATAAAATATTGAGCGTTTACTCAAATATGGGTATCCACTAAAATAAAGTTTAATATATATATATATATATATATATATATATATATATATATATATATAGTGTGTGTGAGGCAGAGAGGACGGACGTTTTCAAAAAAATCACATCATTAATTTTAGCTTCAAAATAGTTTTATTGGCATCAGTATATTCGTATTGAATTGACATTTGACAAAATCAAGTGTGGAAAACAACCCCCCCCCCCGACCAGATGTGATATCCGTTTTCATTGATGAATTTCTGAAGGCGTTTTTTGGAAGTTGGCCCACATCATTCCAGCATTGCTCTGTCGTTTTGGACGACTTCCACACGAATAGCTTCCTTCAAATCGACCAATATACGGGGCTTATGCTTATGCACACGGGCCTTGAAGTTTCTCTATATATAAGATGAAAATGCGCTTGATCACTCATTAACAAAATGAGGTTGTCATTTGCCTCAAAAAATTGCTTCCATCTGACGTGTGAAGCCGCTGTGCATAGTCCTCTGGTTTCAACTGTTGCCCAATGACCAATGTGTAGGGTTGGAAATTCAGTTCTTCAGGCAAAATACGTCTTACCCAACGATTATTGATGCCAAGTTCAGTAGCACCCTCCGAGCAAAGCGATTCGTACTGCAAAGCTTATCTGACGCGTTCCACATTTTCTGGAATATGTACCATTCGTACCCACCGCCCCACTGGTCTTCTATTCATTAGTGTACCTTATATACGAAGTGCATGAACCTAACGTAAGATTGTTTTGCGAGTGGGAACAGCCTGATTTCGGTGAATGTTGATTCGGCGATGAAACTCATTGACAACATATTATAAAATGGATTAAGTCTAACAATTATTTAATATATTTTCTGTTTAAAAATAATATATAAACAGAAAATATATTAAATAATTGTAATTGTCGGACATACTCCATTTCATAATATGTTGTCAATATTTACGTTAAGGTACGTTTCGTGAGCAGATATGATCGTCCGAGAAAGATCGTCGAACATCATATATATATATATATATATATATATATATATATATATATATATATATATATATATATATGAGTTTTCGTTTTAATCCAATAGTTTGTAAAATAATTATCATAACTTGTTAATTTGAGAGTCATTGAGCGCTCTGTGAGTGTCGCCATATGTTGAACAATATTTCATCAGTGGAATATTTACTTAGTAATGATAATACGAATATCTTTCGCGTGAGTTGTTTAATCAGTGTGTAGCTTAATCTTGAAAAATATTCCACCATTCTATTACCACTTTAAAGGGCAGTGATTTCTTTCCTTGTACATCGTAGTTTCAATATTACCCAGTCTGTTCATTATCTATCTATCTATCTATCTATCTATCTATCTATCTATCACCAATCTGTTCATATCTATCTATCTATCTATCTATCTATCTATCTATCTATCTATCTATCTATCTACCAGTTTGTTCATATCTATCTATCTATCTATCTATCTATCTATCTATCTATCTATCGATCTATCTATCTATATACATTCTGCTCGGGGGTGTATGCGGATAAATATTTATCATTCCGATCCGACATCCATTACACCACAACACAGATCCGATTAGATTAGCATAGTGAATTAAGTATTGAGCCGTTGATGATGATCACCTGCCCAGCAGATGAGACCACTGCGTAACTCCACTGGTGCCAGTGGTCTCGGTTCGAACACACGTAAAAAGCCAGAATAATCAAATGTTGATTTTCAAAAGCGGCACGCTTTGCCTTGCATGGAAAATTATCACGAAACCGTCTTTCCACATTCAATTCCGCCTAAACAGCCTTTTGCCAGACTTAACTGCATTTACTAAATATTTAAAATTAGTATTTTATCAGAAAAATAAACATTTGTTTAATTTAGTCTTCCCCATCCTGATCATGACTAATAATATTGCTGATTCATCTTTAGATTTTTATCAAGTAGCTTAAGGAGATAAATAGCAGGGGCACCGGACCGTATGTGGCAGCTATATTCTAAGCATGGACGAATATGGATATGTAGGATAGATTTTGGGGAGAAAGATTATCTAGCACGACACAGTGAACCAACTTTCTTAGCAGGAAACCTAGCAATGGATTCAGTATAGTCTTTCCACTCCAGGTTGAAAAAAACGAATCTTCGGAGTAATTAATGAAGAGAAGATAAATACATAGATAATCACAATATATTAATCTTAATCTATTCGACTACTTAGTTTGCAACATTCCAACCCCCCCCCCAGTTTGGGAGTTAACTATTTGCCCAGAGCTGGGACCCTAACAGATCTACCATTCCGGGTCAGGGTGGTGCAGGAAATAAGAGCAATTAAGAGGTGTTTCCAGGTTTCTCCAAATCTCCTGATTAGAGTCCTTGCTGCCGGATGTAGTCTATCGTCATACCCAAGACAGATAGGTAATGAACAGAATTAGATAGATAGATAGATAGATAGATAGATAGATAGATAGATAGATATTGAACAGCATTAGATAGATAGATAGATAGATAGATAGATAGATAGATAGATAGATAGATAGATAGATAGATAAGCACACTGAGTTATTTACAGAGATAGCGATAGTGTGTGTGTGTATGAGAAAGAGAGAGAGATGAAGGAAATAAGATAGATAGATAGATAGATAGATAGATAGATAGATAGATAGATAGATAGATAGATAGATAGATAGACTGAGGTAGATGAACTCACTGAAATAGAGATATATATCGATAAATAGATGAATATGAACACACTGAGATAGATAGATAGATAGATAGATAGATAGATAGATAGATAGATAGATAGATAGATAGATAGAATTCTATATTAAGATTACATGTGTTAGAGTGGTTTTCAACATTGTAATGAAAATTCCGGAATAGTCAATTTATGTTTCATATTTAAAAGAGAAAACATTCTATTTAGACTTAACTCTTCGCAAAGAATTTCAATCATTAGAATCGAACAAATATCAACCATGTAGGCGTCAGGATTCTTTCAACTAACCCAATTGCACTGAGTTAATTCCCTTACCGATAATATCGGTGAATTTCCTTCAGATAAAAATCTAATCTGAATACTGCAATAAAAACACTTGTCAACAGATAGCATTGAAACAATCCCGCCATGCTGACTTATTCGTTCGCATGAGTGCTGAAATGATTCCGTCATTTTTGAAGTCTTCATGGCATTCATTTTCTTTTGTAAAGCAGACAAGCGTGATTATATTTTTTTTCAATTCAAATCTAATATGAATAAAATCATTTTCAGAAACAATCTCAAACAAGTCTGGATATTTTTGGTAATCATTCTTTAAGTCCTCAATCGATCCTGAAAGTATATAAAAGATGCAATATGTGATACTATAACTAGTGTAGACGTGGAGTATCGAAAGCCATCAAAGGCTTGTGGGTTATCCCTCTTGACTTTACCAAAAAAAAACCGTGGCTAGGAACCGCTCTTCAAGCCTATAAAAAGGCGCGAATTTCTTTTAGCTCTGGCCTTCAGATGTAGACGTGTGTAGGTAAAATGTCCCCCACTGGGGTACGGTCATTTTCATAGTTTTCTCTCTTGATTTTGTACTCTCGCACACACAAACAAGCACATTCTTATTATAGCCAGTCTTATTTTTTTTTCCTTTTGTCACAGGTAATTCCTTGTGATAAAAACCTTTAACCCAAACAAAAACAAAAACAACAAAAAACGGTGTATCAAAAGAGCGGTTGTTCCCTTGACACCGCTATTATTTTTTACTACCTTAACTCCCTCGGAAATGCTTATTTACTAATTATAAAAATAGGTGAACGTACAATGCGACATTTGTCATTTACTTTTTATAAAGAAATTAATGTGAAAAGAAATCCACTGTGCAACGCCTTAAGGACACATGGCACAGTGGATAAAGGCGTTGGTTAGAACCAGTGACAGGACCCAAAGAGTTGTGAGTTCAATGCCTGGTTAAGGCAGTAGAGAACTTGGAAAGGTGAATTAACAGGAGATAACTGATAACTAACATCCATTATACATGGCACGTGGAAATGGAACAGTGAACGAAATAAAGGGTTCAGTTCGACATTGCAACCACCTGAAGAAGGCCGGAGCGTACAACAACCGAAACGTTGTGATAAATATGGCAACAAAGATGAGGACAACAGTGTGTACATAATGCCTCATCTCAGAAATATAGACAGATACAGAAATCTTTTTATTCAATTTTTTTTAAATTACTAAATTGATAAAATATGCAAACCATCTACAATACAATATTTATTATTTACCATTTATTTATTTTATAAATAACTATTAAAACAAATTTTTTATTCATAATTTTTAAAAAAAATATCAATTAATTATAACAAATATTTATTTTTTTATAAATTAATAAATGATAAACATTTATAAAATTTGAGGGTAGTGTAAGAAAAAATATTAGGCTAGTACAAATATTAGGTAACTTAGCAGTTGAAAATATCAGGACCTGACGAGCAGTTCAACTGACAGTAGTTACTTTAAATTATCCTGACTCAGAAAATTCGGCGAATTGTGTTGGAGGCTTTTTGATAGCGGGGAATTTTGGGTGATCATGAGTGATGCCAAAGTGAAAGATTTAATTTAAAGATTACCGTCACCCCTGCTATCACTACTGGTCTTGTTCATTATTATTATTATTATTATTATTATTATTATTATTATTATTATTATTATTTCCTTGAATTTCTGTTGTGTACACATTTCCTTTCAGAGATTTAAGGTCAGAAATGTCATCATGACATTTTCCATTGATCATTTTTAAGGTCAGAAATGTCATCATGACATTTTCCATTGATCATTTTTAAGGTCAGAAATGTCATCGTGACATTTTCCATTGATCATTTTTATAAAAAAAATATAACAACCTAAGATCACACATATTTTACTTCGTAATTTGTGAGTAGTACTTTTGGATACATTTTTTTTATATTTCTTTAAGGCATGAACTACCAAGAATCCCTTTAATGAATCTATTGAAACCTTTTCCAGTCAATCCGAGGGCTCCAACTACAAATGGAATTATTAATGTCCTCATCTGACTGCAATAGTCGTCTCTTTGCCTCCGCCCGTAACGAGTGTAAGCGTGTCCTCAACGATGCTAAGTCACTATTTGCGGCTCGGATGAAGGAACGTATTGCATCTCGCAAATTTGGCTCCAAAGATTATTGGCGTCTCTGCAAGAGCGTATTGAACAATTGCAAACCCTCTATACCTCCTTTATTCAACCAGTTCGAAGTCCTGACCTCCTCTACCGACAAGGCTGAATGCTTTGCTCGGAAATTTTCATTCAACTCGACGCTCGACTCTTCCGGTGTACCCATACCCGACTTCCCTCTTAGAACTGAGGCCATATTGAGTGGGTTAAACATAACCCCATCTTTGGTACTGGACGTTATCTCCAATTTAGACCCCAACAAGGCTAGTAGTGGAGACGGGATACCAGCCATTGTCTTCAAGAAATGCGCGCCTGAACTGGCGCCCGCCCTTTCTAAACTATACAACTACTGCCTCAAGGAATCTTGTTTTCCTGACTGCTGGAAGTTCTCTTCGATCGTTCCTGTCTTCAAGAACTCCGGCGACCCCTCTGACCCTTCCAACTACCGCCCTACCAGTCTCCTTCCCCTCTTTGGCAAAGTCTTCGAAGCCCTAATCAATACCGAGGTGATTAACCACCTCACATCCCATAATCTGCTCCCAGACAAGCAATATGGTTTCCGCTTTGCCCGATCTACAGCTGATGTGCTTACGGCCATCACTGAAACTGTCTACAGAGCTCTTCAAAATAACGGGGAAGCCCGTGCCGTGGCACTAGACATCTCCAAAGCATTTGATAGGGTTTGGCATGCCGGCCTTCTTCGCAAGCTCCCCGGTTATGGCATTACGGGTCGATTATATAACCTAATACAATCATTCCTGTCAAACCGTGAATTGAAGGTCGTTCTCAACGGATTCTCCTCCAGTTCCTATCCCACGAACGCAGGTGTTACTCAAGGCTCCGTCCTAGGCCCCACTCTATTCCTTATCTACATAAATGACCTTCCTGACGCCATAACTTCCCAAGTTGGCATCTACGCGGATGACACCACAATTTATTCCTGCCTCAAAAACAAATCTAATCTCACTGACAAAACTCACCTGGCCGTGCGTCTCGAAAAGGACATCCAATCGATTGTGAACTGGGGCATGAATTGGCTGGTCAACTTCAACGCTTCTAAGACAAAACTGCTCTCTATTAATCACCACAGAGATCCTTCCCTTCCCTCCATTAGAATGTCTGACGCTCAACTTCTCGAGAGCAACTCTATGCGGCGTCTCGGTCTCACGTTGACTGCTGACCTGAGATGGAATAAATACATTGAGTCAATTGCTTCGTCCACCACAAAGAAAGTTGGCTCCCTGAGCCGCACCAGGAAGTTTTTCTCCCCGGAGTCGATCCTCCAGATCTACAAATCAACAATTCGCCCTTACATGGAGTATTGCTGCTATATATGGTCTGGTGCCCCTTCTGTTTGCCTCGGGGTTCTTGATAGGCTCCAGAAGCAGATATGCAATGTAGTTGGCCCTGCTC